GATTAAAAAAACTTATAGAGATCATAATGTGAATACTATTGATGATATTGAAAAAATTATAAATAAATCTTCAAAAAATAATATAGGACTTAAATATAATAATAGTGTTGGATGGAATTGTATGATTTTCAAGGTTTTTTTTCACAAAATTTTGTAAATTGTCCTCATATAACGGATTATTATTATTTTCATTTTAGTAATTTATCACAAGATTTAGATAAAGTTTATTGTTCAAAAAAATCTAATAGTGATGAAGTTTGTTATAAACTTTTACATAATAATGATCTAAAATCTAATTTTAGATTTTTGACTAATGTTATACAAAAAAATGAGAAATTTTGATAACCTAATTGCTTGCTTTGTTAATAAGATAATCGATTATAAAAATTTAATCAAATAATATTTATATATCATATAATAATATGAATCAAAACTCTCAATTTTAGTTGGTAGAGTTCCGTAAGGTAATTTTAATAACTTAACCCCATATAATCTTTTTCTTACTTTTCTTCTTTTATATATAATCTAATATTTAATTATTTACTTATTTTACTATTTATAATAATTAAAGCTTCTATTAAATTGAACATATTTATAATTAAAATTCAAATAATAAATTAAATTTATATATTTTGTAAATTTATAAATATCATAATAATTACTAATACTTTTATTAATATTTAATTTTTGATTTCATAATTTAAAATTTCATTTAATTTTTCAGTAAAATCAATTAAATAACTTATATAAAATACTTGTAGATGATCCTTAGTAATATTTAAAATATTATCTTGATTTATTTTAATATTTTATCTGCTTTATAAAAATTTATAAATCATATTTTAATTTAATATCAAAATCTATATTTATAATATAATTAATCCAATTTACAATAATCTTGAGGATTTTTGATGTAGTTGATCTTTTGAATATATTGACATTCTAACATTTACACATTTAAGTTTATATTATATTATAATGTATTTTCAATAATTTCTGATCTTTTACTTTTATAAATATCTAAAGCAATTAAAAATCATAAGTTTCATTATTAAATGGAAAAACTTCTGATATTAATTCTCATATAATTATAGAAAAGCTATATATATTACTAGCTTTAGTATAAGGTTAACATCTTAATACCTCAGGTATAATAAATAGTAAAACCTCATAAATATCATTTTTTATATATTTGAAAATAATTTATAGGTTTATATAATACTATATCATTAATTGATAAAATTTTATCTCTAATATTTAAAATATTACCTAATGAAATTACAATAAATAAAATTATTTTGATGTATGAATTCAAATATACTAATAATATCATATAGTTGTAATAATTTAATAATCTATTTATCTTTAACAATATTTGATAAATTTTTCTTAAATTATTATTTCTTACATATTTCATTATTAATTTATAATTTAAAGTATTTGATCTTAAGTAAATCCATATAATTGAATAAGACTTTCATTTGAATAAATTTTTAATTTACTATAAAATTTATGATGATGTTTTCACTTTTAATTATAAATATTATTTTAGATTCAAATTACTTAAAATTAAAATTAATTGTTAATTTTATATCTCATTTAAATTTGATGATTGATCAAAACTTTTGAGAACTATTTCAGTTTTACCATTTCTAAACCAATTTTTTTCTTCATAAGAATAAGATTTAATAAATCCATTTAACCAAATAGCTTTATATATAATACTAAATCCTCCTTTATCAAGATACTCAATATTTTCAAATTAATTATAAGGAATCCATTCTAATAATTGTCTTTTATTTTGAATGTTTAATTGAATTTCATGAATAAATTTATTAAAAGAGATTTATCTAACGAACCCGACTCACATACCTAATACGAAAATAAAATTCAATATTTTAAAAAAAGATTAAAAAGGTTGCTCATGATTTCACTATACCTTCGATTTAGTCACGATTAATTTTGATTTTATAAGAAGCTCGCAAGTTGTCCAGATCGTCTAGCTTCTTAATAACATCTGATAACCGCTTTTTGAAATAAAATTTATTTTCACCTAAAACGGTTGTTACAAATAAATAATATCATAGTAATAAATAATTTACATTAGAAATTATTCGACCGAAATTCCCTAACTATTTGTTCTAGGCACATCCTTTATGATAATACAGTTTTACCTAAATCATTAAAGATACTAATAAAAACAATAAAACTAAGATATCTTGAGATTACATATTAAATAATATTTTATACCTGAAGCAATTTTAGATTTAACTCGAAATCTTTGAAATATTAAAGACAAATCGACACTGTTTAATTTCAAAATTCTGTATCAGTAAATGACGAATAACGAATATAAGATTCATAAAAAATTTAACTAATACAATATTACCTTAAAGAGTATAAGATTTGACATGACTGTACCAAACAGTGCTAAAAATAAATCTTAAATGTAAATTTCCTTACCTGATGCAATTAAAATTTCATGTTTCTTAGTTTTAACACGCAAGAAAAGTTATGTCGTTCTAAATTAAGCAAATACATATATGAAAATTAAAAAACAAACATGACCATTTTATAAAATCACAGTATTACAAAAAATTGATTTGTTCTACTAACTTGGTAATTAAAACCGAATATTTTTTTATTCAACGTAGTTTCTAAGTTGATTAATAATTTTTTCCATGTTCATTAACGATCAATACACCTTGTATATGTTTCAACCTCGATATGAAATTAACTAAAACTTCAGGAAATAAAATACACATTAAAATTCCTTTTTTAAAAAATTGAATAAAAATGAGTAGTTTATTTATATATACACACTACATTTTTTCATGTGGGTAACTAAATCAGGTGATAAAAAAAGTTCAGGATTAAAATGAGAGTTATATATGTATTATTATAGCGTAAATGAATATCACATGAGCCAATTTTGCCAAATGATCCGTACCGAAGAATACAAAAAATCATAAGAATCATTAAAAAGATGTTCAACGAAATTTAAAATATTATTTAGGATACAAATCCAATATTGTATCTTCAGGATTACGAGAAATATTAGATATTTAGTACAACTTTCATTAATGTTATAGTAACGACACCGGCGGCGTAGAAGATTTTATCAAAAGTTTATGACAATATTATTTAGCAGATTTCCAATTAAATGGTTCGGAATTGAGAGTATATATGGTATGAATAGAATTGGTAATTTAGTTATGCCTATTGTAAAATTATAAGAAGAAAAGAACGAAGTAAGTCCGTAATTTTTCTTAATAAAAAAAAAAATTAATTAATTAATTTCGTACATTATAAGAGAATAATATGGTCGTCATCAAAAGTAATTAATGGATTAGGCAAAGAAATATTATTGGGTATATCTGATGATTATAAATATTTAAAGACATCCATCTTTTTTTCTTTCAAAGAAATTTCTTTGAGTATTTGTCCAGATCTCATTCATTGGGTGATCTGATTATTTTTATATAATATCTAAGATCATAAGAATTATATGCAATGGTAACTATTTTTTAATTCATTAAAATTGATTTGATGTTAACGTTAATATGTTTTAACGTGTCGCGTATTTTTTTTTCCTTCCTGCAGAATGGAGAAATCGTACCATTTATCAGATAGATTTGCTTAACCACCAGGTCAAGAAAATCCTCAACTCTGTTTTAACAATACGAAATTAGACATTATTGTGGCTTGGCTGAACTCTTTTGGGAATTGTGAACATCAAATGTTTGGTATTTTATCAAATTTAATTTAATCCAAATTTTTGGTTTGTTATATAAATCTTAATCAATTTAGGGCTTTGACGTGGTATTGATTATTCTGAATGTAAAACAAGGATATAGGGCTTGGATGGCATAGATGTAAGCTCATTAATTAAACCTTTTTTTCCAAGTAAAAAGTAAAACCATTTGGCTGATGTTCCATACCAATAGATGGCCCTAGATATTTATGAAATTAATCCACACTTTGGTAAAGCTAATGACCATAAGATGCTCTTTAGCTCTCGCGAGAAAGACATTACGTAGTGTCGTATGTTATTCTACACTTTTGATTATACCAATTTTTTTTTAATTTTGTCATTATAATGGACCTTTTTGATAGAGATTACAGGATGGAAAACCTCCTAGAACGAAGAATGTTAAAATATATAATCCATTTAATAAATTTGATATTTTCACTTTTATTGTTACATTGAAATCCTGGAGATTAAGCGAATGTTCAATATTGTAGCCTAGATGGAAATTTGCAGGTATTTATTTTTTTAAATAAAAAAATAAAAGACATTATGCTAAAAGAAAAGTCTTTTTATCTTCTTTATTGCGTCCCATGTAATAGATCTTGACAAGGAAACCCTGCCCTGTAGTGATCTCTAAATTAAAAAAATGGATCAAATATTATCAAAAGAATTCGATTTCGATGGTATACGTATCAATGCGTAAAGCATATTCGACATAGTTTTTGTGATGCGTTCATTCAAGGTAAGGGAGAGCATATTTCTAAATCGGGATTTATAAAGGCATTTGATAGTACTTTATGATGATATCCTCTATTCCAAGATTCAACCTTTATATACTAATCCTTGTACTTTTATGTATAGAAATGCCATAAATGATGATAGAAATCTTTTAATGATGCTAATGTACTAGAAAATTTTCTTGACATAATCAAACGTTAAGTGATGGACTTTTGAGTTGTAGAAAAGTAAATTCATTCGATATTTATTTATTTTCTAATTGGATAAACACATTTTTTTTTACGTCATAATAGATTAGGAAATGTTTTTTAATAGTATCAACTGAACAAGAATTTACGGGGCAGGGAACCCAATAGAAAGTAATCCATTTAATCGTGAAATACTTTGGCCATCTTCTTACTCACGATCGTCTCCTTCATACAAATTCATCGCTACTATCAATGCATTCCGTAAAGCATTACTTGGAGCATTCTTCTCTTCATCATCTATCAAACTTGGATAGATGAACAAATTTATGCTTTTATTAAAGACAATGCATTAATCTTAACCTCTAATTATGGTGGAAATAATCTAAATTATATTTTGTTATGCAAGATGGCCGTTTGTGACGTTTGAGTTAATATGAAGATCTCATAATGTCCTGGTTCAAATTGACGGTGGTGAAGAATTTAAAATTCTTGATCTATTTAGTATGGTAATTTATAACTTATCTAATCATTATTCACCATTGTTTATAAAATAATAAAAACCGAATCGAAATTTGATGTCCAAGTTTCAGTCATTTACAACTCATGATCAAAGAAAGATCTACGAAGAACAATAGGAAAAATACTATAAATATTTTCTCAAAGGATTCCGAACTAATCATTTATTTATTTGAATTCTATATTTGAATTAAACTACAATATCCAATTTAGTAATTTAACATTCAATATTTTGTATTTGCTTCGATTCCTTTACCAAATGGTTAAAACACACTACTGCTCCCCAAGGCTTCGTCGCAAACAAATGATTTTGAAGCAAAATTATAAATCAATAAAGTCAGAAAATTAAAAGGAAAAGCGACTTAAATAATTAATTTTATTGGATAATAAATATCATAAGATAAATACACAAAAGAAGAAAATTATATTTAAAAATAATATATATATATACAGCGACAATTAATTATCATAATGAAGGCGATACTTATTTGATTTAAAAACATCCATTATCTCTATATAATAATAAACATTATTGTTGTGTTTTAACTTCTTAAAAGGGCCTAAGCGTAAGACTTTCGTTATGCTTTCCTAATATGATTGATAATACATGTAAATACATATATAAGAAGAAAAAAAAGTTAAACTATCTAAAGCTAAACTAGCAGAAGCACTTCGACGCAAATTGGACATAGGACAAGCGAACCCATATTTTCTACTTGCTTTGCCAATAGTACGAAACGAGAGGATGCCTCTTTCTAAATTTTGGTCCTTTAGTTCAGGGAGTGAATTCACTGACCAGCAGATGTATCACTTTAACTAAGGCCATTTGTGATATTTTTTTTTTTTTTTTTTTTTTAAAAAAAAATAAAATAAAGAAAAGGAAATTATAAAAAAAAAAACAAAAGGAAGAGAGCGTAGTCCTAGACTACCTTTGATAAGTGTCGGCATTGTCACTGTGTTTCACCTTCTAAATTGTCAGTAAGTTCTTGTAAAATAAAAATTTCGTGCGTGCTTTTTAGAAAAGATTAAAATGTAATTTGAAAATTTGCGATATACTGTATATATTGTACGTGGGAAATTTTTTAGATTGTTTTCAGATAAAATGATTGGTTGGAATTTAATGTGATCGACATTTTAATTTTAAGAAAATAGAAAATTAATGAATTAATTAAAGAATTTGAGAAAAGTGGGATTTCACCAGATTTATTCTCGATACCTAATTTCTTCCCTTCTAAAATTGTATTAAATTGTAGGTTCTTTTAAATCTCAAGAATAGTTGGCTTCTGATGGAGGACGAATTTTTTATTCTTTCCCATCACGCATGGTTACTGTCAAGTTTCTTTTTAACAACTAAATTGATATGGTCCGATCTTAAAAACAGGTAAATTCATTATTGTGAACAAGTTTTATAACTTAATAATTTTTTTCTTAATAAAGGTATTTATGAATGTCGCTTGACTGTTGAAGATTATTCAACACATATAATATTCTCTGATTATACTAAGTTTCAATAGTTTTAATGATAACATTTACAATTTTACAATTACTGCTATGACATTATTTTTTTAAATATCTTGAACTTCACAATATTCTGGGTTTGGACAGATTTAGTGAACAGGTATGGTTTTTCTTATTCAATTAATCTGCTGTAACAAATTTAGATCGAAAATGTATGATTATTAACTATATGTATCACCCTCAGCATCGTATAGCGATGGAGTTAAATTGATGAAATTACGATTAAGACAACAAAGAAAGGAAAGAAGATACATATGGGAAGTTGAGAAAATTCGATTAATTGGAGATGATGCTGATAAACCCTCTAATTATTGGTGATAAGATTTCTAGAAATTGGCAAAAGATACCCTTTCATAAATCAGAATGCAACCTGTCCTATTATACTTTTCTCGCATAATAATTAAGAATATAGTTAAGAACTTAATTTTATGAAAACTGGGTTAGGTAAAATTGGCCTTTGTATATATCAATTTAAGCCACTTATTATCGCTGATAATGAACTTTTCAATTTCATTTTTTTTTTTTTTTTTTTTTACCAAAATTTGGGTTATTTTAGCTATTTCAATACAACATTTGAAAAAGATTTTAAATAAATGACGCAATTTTTAGCCTAATATTTTCATTTTATTTATGCCATATTATTGAGAAATAACTTTAAAGTATATCATGGAGAGGTTTTCGATTTGTTTCGGATTATTGAATAAGATTCTCAATTTATTGATGAATTAATAGAAAATATATTCGAAAAATTTCCAAGTCATTGGAAGAATCAAGTAAGTATTTTTTTTAATATACTTGCTCGTGATTTGTAAAAAAATAAATAAATTATAGGAAAGTTTTACATGACTTATTAATAAAGTGCCATTATGAAACATTAAATCATTTTTAAGATATTGAGGAAATGGAAATATTTCTTTATGGAACTGATAAAAATTGCCTTCTTAAGAAACAATTTAATAAACTTCAAAGTTAGTTCAAGACAAATGAATCAAGAATTTTAAGCAGTTCTTGAATTCGGGCTTGATTTATTTGACATGATGTATTATAAAGAAGATGAAGAGATTGATGATACATTAAAAATTCATATATTATAAATTAATTTGTGTAATTTCGCAGCTACATTACATACCATTTGTATTAAATATTGATATTTTTATTATATATTTTTTTAGAAAGCATGAGCATATTGTAAAATTTCCTAATCAAAATTTTGAGAAAATGTATCATTTATACATCAACTCATTAAACTTTATTACGTATTTACAGTACATATTGAGAACAAACAGAATATTACAACAGACTATTTTAAAATTGGTGAGGATTATAGATGCCTGCCGAAACCTCCTCAAAATAATTTCGTCATACCCTTTTCTATATTTTTAATATAGTTTCGACAGTTTCGGCTTTCTTCGTATCGAAAGGGTTTCATCGTATCCCTTATTATGATTTTAATATAGTTTCGTCTAAGTTTCGACTGTTATTAAGGGTTCGTCTCTCATCATTAGTGAGGATCCATCAGTAGAATTGTACAAGGATATAAAAAAATTTCATATTTTAATCTCCACTCAAAATTAATCCATAGTATATAAATATATATTATCATATCATCAATTTTTCATGAATATATATTGTGTTAGATATTTTTCTTTTCTCAATCAAATTTTATATATGTAATTTATTAGATGGATTGTAACACATTATTAATAATTTATATTAAGCTGTGCTAAGCATAATTACAAATGCATACATATGACTCTATTAAGCAACACGCGAAGGAATATTCCTTGCGTTCCATTTACATTCCTGTCCATAATCACATGTAAACTTTTCTCCCTCCTATATTCTGTATGTTTCCATATGCAGACATATTTTTGATGTATATGCTTCATTTTGTATGATCATCTTTATACCAGTCTCATTAGCTTTGTATTTAAACCATTGTCAGAATGAGTAATGTGACCATGTTAATATACTTCACACAGTTTTTAATTGATCTTTCTCTTTTCTTATCTCATCATATTTAAAATATTAAATTCAGCTATAATAATGATATTATAATTTTCACAAGATATGCCAGTTTCTTGTGTAATTCATTTCTCAGATTCTTAATTCTTCTAAAAATTTCTTGAAATTGCTTTATTAATTTTCTCAGCCTTCTTTTTCTTTCTTTTAAATTGAACTCTTAAGCTTATTCCTTACTGAACTTAATTTTTTTGCATGCAAGCAAAGTCTCATCAAACTCTATACAATATTTTTATTAATCTCTATAATTCCTTTTGTGAGTAAATACATCACAAATGGAATTCAAACTCTTAGATTGATAATCACAATTTCTTGTGTGTTTCATTTAACCCTTTTTGTCTTTCATGTATTCACAACGAGATCTATTTAAAATATGTGAGCTTGTAATCATTATTAATCTTTTATGATAGCTAACTGTTATCTTTCTTTTAGTCTTAAATACAAAGCTTTCAAATTTCTTGATTCTTTCATGATATCATAAGGTTTCTTTTTTGGTGTTCTCATAGTATCAAAATTTTTGAATAAGTACAATATGTAAAATTTATTTCAATATTTTTTTTGAAATTTTACATATATATAGTAATGATATACTTTAAGTCTTCCATGATCTTAAACTTAACCTGATTTTGTTATTATTTTAATTAAAATTTTTAACAGCTTCATCTACAGTTTCATCAATTAAGTTATTTGATATATTATTATAAGCTTTCTTACTTCTTAATTTTAAATATGTAATCCTTCTCAGAAATTTTATCTTTGAAAAGTTTATCATCTTTTTACATTTATTTTTATTTTTATCTACATGTATAATCAAAAACTTTCTATTTTTGTAGATAGTCAATGATTGTATTATAGATTAATTTTATTAGCCACATCTATAGCTTTATTATGTATTTATGTATAAATTCAGATATAATTTTACATTTAATATTCTGTTTACATTTTTATCCTTTTTTCTTCTTTTATTTTTTTCTTATTATTAATACTTTCTTTTTTTCTTCTATGTTTGACTGCTCTTCTTTTTTACAATTTGAAGATGAAAATAGTAGTATTAAAGTGATTAAAATAGTTCATAAAGTACCCTTTGAAAAAATATTAGTAGCAAGAATAGCTTTTATTTATCGATTATTAAATCAACAAAGTGAATTATGAGTTTTGTAGAATTAAAACATATGCTTAAGAAATTTATAATGAACTTGCATAATCAATTATAGTGAGTAGTCACAATCTCTCTGATAAAACCTTTACATGATTTTTC